ATGAGAGAGAGAGAGAGAGAGAGAGAGAGAGAGAGGAAACCCGTAACCCCGAGATCGAACGCGAACAAGATCAAACGCGACGAGAGAGAGAGAGAGAGAGAAAACCCGTAACCCCAAGATCGAACACCAACAAGATCAAACGCGACGAGAGAGAGAGAGAGAGAGAGAGAGAGAGAGAGAGAGAGAGAGAGAGAGAGAGAGAGAGAGAGAGAGAGAGAGAGAGACCGACCTGCTGGCAAGCTGGCGCCGTTGTCGACTGGGGGCGGCTGGCTCCGACTCCTAGCAGCGGCTGCTCGACGATGGCTTCAGCTACCGCTTCACTCCTGTCTGCTGGTTGGCAATGGCTACAGCGCCGGCTTCGGCAGATCCAGCGAGGAGTTGAGGACACACACGAGGGAACTGGCAGCAACGACTGGCGGGGGATTCGAAATTGGCAACTTCGAAATTACCCTGCCAACAACCCAATAGCCCGCCTAAAATACCCAACACCCATCCTGACTCACCTGTGTTTGGTAGCGGGACCCATGTTCGGTAGGCCGAAACGTGCTTGAAAAATCTGCCTGTATTTTTCAGGCGGCGCCCAGGACCCGGTAAGTGTCCTGGGCTGCCTCTTTTTTTTTTTTTGAATGTTTGCCTGGCCCCCTCTCTCCGGATGTTCGGTACCGGACACCGGATCCGGACATTTGGCTCCGGACTGTCTGGAACCGGGTCCGGATGTTCGGTCGGTTACCATGGTTTTGTGTCCTTGTTTTAACGTTGCGCTGTTGATCCCGTGATACCTAATGAACACAACAAAAACACGCAAGGCGAGAGCCCTATCCAGTACGCCCGGGAGATCATCAAATCAGCGGCTTGTTGGGGCATCTGGAAAGACCAGAGCATGGTAGTGAGGAGTGGAGAGAAACCTGCAATGGCCGTAATATGGCCGACGGTGAAGGAGGCGATTAAGACGGGCAATTGTAGCAGATATTCATCGCAGACATCTCAACTCCGGTGCCCCGTTGCATGAAAGATCTCTGTATTACAGGGCATGGCGACGGTTTGCCGCTCTGGTCGAACTGGACCTACTCAAAGGGTCATATGTGTTTTTTTCGAAATGCACCTACTTAAAGGGTCATATGTGTTTTTTGGGGCCCTCCTCAGAGGAACCGAAACCATCATGTTAGACCCCCAGTCTCAGTTATCAGAGATGGTCCTCGCTCTACATTGAAGCGTCGAGACCTTACGGGATGTGTAATGGTAGGTAGATGCATTGTAGCAGGTCACTACTGGAGTGGAGGATGGAGGGGTTGGATAGAATTTGGAAAGGTACTCTAGAAACGAGAAGGGCATGACGAACATAACTTCAAAAAGAAAAAAAGAAAAAAAAAAAACTAGGTAGCTAGGCTACCAGCCGGGCCGCCCGGGTCGTCCTATTTTCCCGGACGGCCCGGCCGTGCAAGGACCACGGAAGGTCCTAGACAAAAAAACAAAAAAAACAAAAAAAACAAGAACCGAACAACTTTTGCCCCAGGGTCACATCAAAATTGTTTACCATATTTAAAATAAAAATCGAAGTTTTTTTTTTTTTTTTTTTTTTTTGGCCCAGCCGGTGGCCCCGGGCCACTCTGGTAGCCTATGTAGGTACTAGGTAGTGATGTTTTGGTGACAGGAAAAGTTACTCTGTAGCAGCGAGGGCTGAGGAAATCACAACTCCAAAAAGACCTGGTGTCGGCTCCCGGACCGATGTCCGAAGCGCTGCTGTTTGCCTGGGTCAGGGATGGGGAGTTTTTTTTTTTGTTTTTTTGAACTGGACGATTGACAAGAATAGGCCGTAGTCGGCCCGATCAAAGATGCTGTGGATAGGAACACGGGATACAATCGGCAGATTAGAATGACATGGGTTAACAATAGTTAAGGTAAGACTTACAGGAAATGCTGCGCTAATCGTGCCTGAAATAAGCACTGGGGTAGCCACATCGTGCCTGAACAGATACAAATACTAAAGGGGAAACGTGGTCGCGAACTAATTGGGGGAATTGATGTGGCTACTGCTGCAACAAGCCTCTTAGTTCAACACCAGTGAGCGCACACAATCACACCACATGCATGTATGAGATCACACGAGATTCACACTGGAGCCCAGAGAGATGAAGACCATGTAGCGCAGATTAAGAATTCCAACAAATTATCTCTCTCTCTCTCTCTCTCTCTCTCTCTCTCTCTCTCTCTCTCTCTCTCTTTGCGCAGCACTCTTGCTTCAGCGCTCTGACCCTCACAATAGCACACAAGTGCACCAGCACTTCCACACTTCATGGGAATGAGCTATCTGCCGAATGAGGAGGCTGGCCAGTCATTTTGTAGTCTTGGTTTGCACTTTAACTCGTGCCAGCCTCTGCTTCTTGGGGCCTGACTGGGTTCCTGTACCACATTCCCCACGGTGTCTGCTTTCGAATGTCAAGGCCTGGAACCTTCCCGAATTTCCAGTGGTCTGCTGCTGCTTTGGCCTTTGAGTCATGACTTTTCAATTTTGGCATGTGATTTTGACTGTGGACTGTGACTCCTGCCTCTGGGACACGACTCTTGCCTGTGGAACTGCCGTTTTACTCGTGGGATGTGACTCTTCRATATGACTTTTCATTTTGAGACGTGATTCTTGCCCCTAAGATGTGACTGTTTGCTGGGTGCCTGTTGGACTGAACTGCTTAGGTACCCGACTGTGACTTTTCTGAAAATTTCTAACTCGGCCTTTCCTGGCCAGGGCCTCTGACCCTGAGACCCAAATTTGGGGTCTGAATCGTGGAAGGCCTTTCACTCTCGCCGGCCTAGTTTCGAGGTCCTCCGAGAAAATTATCGATTTTATCTGTCTATTATATTAACTACTCTCTTAGCTCTTTCATAGTAGGACACAATATGCGGTGCTGTTTCTATTAGTTCATCTCTTGTAAACCGGCGATCTTCTGTAGGTTCCTGATAGGCAAATCTGACCTTATATTGTCGCTGTGGTCTACCCCTGTGACCATATCTGTAAACATATTCCCCAACAATCCTATCCACATCATATTTACCATGCATATCAGGGGGAATCATAGATCTGCGGATCGGAAACATGTCATTACTAACGCAAGGAAGTAATTTTGAAGTGTGAAACACTGGATACGTGTGCAAATGTGGAGGAATTTCAACAACATAGAAAGGACCATCGACATCACCGATGGCATCCAGAATCTGCCATGGTCCTCTATAGGCAGGTAACAACTTCTGGGAAATGTTCTCCTCAGGGAGAAACTCTTTTGACTTTACCTAGACCAAATCTCCTACAGCAAATTGTGAGGGTCTACGGTGGCTGTTAGCTTGTTCTATCATTTGATGCTGTGCCTTACTAATGTTCTCCTTAACCTTTTCCAGATCTTTCTGATACTGAACAGCAAATTCCCTAGTTCTGGCGGAAGTCTCTGCACTTGATCAGGGTGTTTAAGAAGTCAATGGGTCTACGTGAAAGCCATCCAAGATGCAGTTCAGTTGGTGTTCTAGATGTAGCTAAATGTACAGAATTGTTATAGGCACTTGCAACCTTCGGCAGATGTTCATCCCAGTCAATCTCTGGTCTAATGTACATGCGCAACACTTGCTGCAGCAGCTTGTTCATCTGTTCGGTCTGTCCATTTGTCTCAGGATGTCTACCTGAAGACATAGCCGGTTTGGACCCATACACCTTCATCAGTTGCTGCCACTGCTCACCTGTGAACCATGTATCCTCGGATGCCCAAAATCTTTCATGTAATCCCGGGTGAGAAGAGAGCATGAAACTTATGAACAAGTTTGCTGGAGCGGAACTATCTACCCAATTGTGAAAGAATTCCCTAATCACAAAATCAGTTCTTGCTTCTCCAGGGAGTGGAGCAAATACAGCAAACTTGCTAAACCGATCTACTATCACCATAACCTGACTTTTGTCGTTTCTGCTGGAATACAAGTTTCACCAGGGGAGGTTGTGTGAAACTCTTTCTGGAGCAAATACAAGTTTATAGACACGGAGTCCCTGGGTCCTGATGGAATAGGTAGCGGTCTAAGTAATCCAAGGGGAGGTTGTGTGGAACTCTTGTTCCTCTGGCATACCCGACAGCCTTGCACATAGGAAATGCAGTCATGCTTCATTCCTGGCCACGTGTAGGAGCGTAGGAGGTTAGCATAAGTCTTCCTCCTTCTGAAGTGCCCCTCTGTATCGTGATTTTCCCCAAGTATTATGCTACGAATTTCCTCGCTGGTCGGAACACATAGTCGGTCATGGACAGCTGTCTTTTCAAACAGCAGTCCATGCTTTACCCTATAGTCCGGGACTTCGTGAGGTGCACCTTGCCAATCAATTGGCTATAGACTGGATCACTTGCGTAGGCAGACTTAATATTTTCCTGCAGTTCGGTGCTTGTGCAAGGAAGATGAGCAATCGCGAACTTCAGCAATCAAACAGCATCATACACATAAGACCAGATAGTTGTGACCTCGAACCAACAGCAGAATTGCATCACGAGTTTCACCAAATAAGAGCACACCAAAAGCTCGTAATTGACAATGCTGGAGTAGTCTCATCATCATCATCAACGAAGAACCAATGTTGATATCCTATCTGGCGCTCGGCGCCCAGACTACAGATGGTGGATCCTATCTAGCCTAGACTGCAATGCCGAAGATGACGACAACAGCTCTCCGAAGTACGAGCAGATAGCGGCCAATGCCGCACGCTTCCAGCACCAGGTATGTCTCTCGCATCACTCACAACCTCGTTCCCCAACACACATGCCACATGCACCCAAGGACCACCCTGCGCCACAGCCAGCTCACAGCAGCGCAGCTGGGCTATGGCTGCCTGCTCCTTCCAGCTCGCCCGTGAGCGCGTGAGCGCTGGCCAGCTTCAGCGCAGCATGCAGCCAGCACCCGAATGTCCAATGCGCCTGCCTGCGTTCTGTCCCGGGCTGCGCTGGGCCTTTCCCAAGAAGCTTCCGGTAGGCCCCGGTAGGCTGAGGCCCAGTCCGAAACAAATCAGGCCCAAGGCCTGAGGTGGTTGCTTGTGCCCAACTTCCTTCGGCCTGTGTTTGGCCCACATCCCGTATCCAGCCCAGGGCCTGCCTTCGATACATGTAAACAGGCGGCCCAGGTCCTGGGTTCTTTCAACCAACTGGCGCTGCGCATTTGCCTGAATTTCCTTAGTTGCGTGGTGGCGGAAATAAGGGCCCTCAGGTCCTCGTCGAGCCTGCCTTCACTTAGGGCGGCCGACGTGCTGCTTGACAGGGCCTGAAAGGGGCTCATCGAGGCTGTGGCCTCACACTTGCATCTAAGTATGTGACAATGGCACCGAAAAAATCAGCTCTTCTACTCGACGCGTCAGCGACAACATTGTACTTTCCCTTTACTGGCTTCAGTTCAAAGTCAAACTGATCAATCTCCCCAGCCCACCTAGTCAGTTTAGGTGTCATCCAACTGTGGGTTTTTAGCCAGCGAAGTGTCTCATGATCTGAGTAAACTTTAAAGTGGCGTCCTAGCAGATAATGTCGCCAATGATTCAAAGCATTCCGTAGAGCGAACAACTCTCTCTCGTAGGTAAGCGGCAACCTTTTCGCTAGGCAGTCTACACGAACTCTACAGGCGTGTACCCATTCCCATCGTCTTGCTGGAGTACAACACCAATCCCATATTGACTGGTGTCAGTGGTTATGATAAAAGGCAGAGATGGGTCCGTGACTTTCAACAGTGGGTAATTAATCAAACATTTCTTTAGACGCTTGAAGGACGCAGTACAATCCTGATCCCATTTCCAGATAGCTTCTTTCTTTAACAATCTGCACAACGGGGCAGCGATTACCGTAAAGTTCCGAACGGACTTGTGGTAATAGTTGGCAAGACCAAGAAACGAGTGCAATTCCGTCAACGTGCGCGGGTTAGGCCAATCTCTAATGGCTGCAATCTTAGCGTCTTCCGGTTAAATCCCATCACCATCTACCATATATCCCAAGTAAAGGACCTGACGCTTTGCCCAGTCACACTTTTTCAGGTTAATCTTAAATTTTGTCTCCCGTAGTTTATTAAGCACAACTCAAAGGTGCTCCTCATGCTCATTCAGATTCTCACTAAAAATCAGTATATCCTCTAGATAAACAGCAACAAACTTGTCAAACCAATCACAAAACAACTCATTCATACGTGTCTGGAAGGTTGTAGGGGCATTAGTCAAACCAAACGGCATCACCACGAACTCATAGTGGCCATATCTAGTTCGGAAATCCGTTTTTGGCTGATCCTCGGGCAGTACCTCAATCTGATGGTAACCCGACTTCAGATCAATCTTGGAGAAGTAACTGCCAACCCTGAACTCGGAGATCTAGTCGTGGTAACGGTTCAACATTTTTAACGGTTATTGCATCAAGTCCCCTATAGTCTATGGACGTACGCAGTTTGCCGCTCTTGTTTGGTGCACCGAACGGTGAGGAGCTTGGTCTAATCCACCCTTTCTCAAGCAACTAATCCAATTGCGTTTGCAGTTCATCAAGTTCTTTTGGAGACATCGTATAGATAGGGCCCTTGGGAATCCGGCGATTGGGTTCTAACTCAATGTGGTGCTTGGTTTCTCTCTCAACCACTCCACTTGGGGTCTGTCCCACATCTGCGAACTCAACAAGCAATTTTTGTATATTGGGGGGTATCGGCTCTACCTCTTTCTTTTTTACACTCACCGGGCGTACATATGCAACAAACACTTGGTCGGCGAGGTCATTCTTGATCACATGCCGGGTGAACGTGGGGGCACTCATGTAGCAAAGGGATAGGCTATTCTCTACGCCAGATGCATGGTAAAGTCGAATTTTCTTCTTTCCACCTGTAGAGCTCGACAAACAACACTCATGCTCACCCAGTTTCACATTTGCATCGGCGGCCTCAACCCAATGAGTCCCTAGAATCATGTCAAATGGGAGACTGTCCTCCACTAAGTGTGTCAGGGAGTGTAGAACGCATTCCACCTTTCCCCCTGCCTCCAACCGGAAGTATGCCCTAACCCCTCTAACATAGCTATCAACTACCATTTCCCTATTATCTGCTTGCTTGCTTACAACAAGCTGGTCTAACTTCTGGACATTCAGCCCTAGGCGCATCTTCTGCAACCCTTTCTTGCTTATATAACGGCGTGTTGACCCACTATCTATTAGTGCGCCCACTCTTACTTAATTCACTTCTACATCTGCAATTAATACCCCTTTCTTTTTCTTCATTGCGGCCCAAGGGCGGCGACGAGTGATCAGTTCATCACCTATGCTTATGAGAGAACCACCTAGAGAAATCCTAGCACAAGCAACCTCTGGGCAGCTAACTAGGTGGGGGCCATCTATCGTCTCAGTCTCTGGCATTGGGACCTCTGGATGGGAGGATGACAGTCTGCTTGCATCCAGAGTCCCTGTAGAGACAAATGCTACCTCTACTGGTTTTTCCCTTTTGGGTACCGATATTCGGGACAGAAGGGAACAATGTGGTCGGGGTCACCACATTTGAAACATTGTCTAGCAGCCTTCCTTTCTTCCCAAGTCTTTTCATCTATTCCCATTTGCTCCCATGGTTTACCTATGGGAATTCCGGTATGGGGTGGATATGGCCGCTCGTAATTACCTCTACCTCTAACCCCTATGAAGTTGGGACCTCTACCACCTTGAGAGGGACCATTGCCCCTACCTCCCACATAGTAGCTACCTTCGCCACTAACCCTCTGGGCGGCGGGTCCTCTTCCTCCACCACGGCTGTGGCCTCCTCTTCCACGGCCTCTTCCTCCTTGTCGCCCTCCCCCGCGGGCTGCAACAGCCGCATAGTGCCCTCCTTGGGCTAAGTGACCATTGCTATCTTCTTCTAACCCATAGTCTATCTGGTCATAGGTAAGGGATTCTACCCTCCTTCGAAGGTGACAGGAAGATTATCCTTCCCTGCTATATTCCCTGAGATAGTCTGGTCTTTCCATTTCTTGCCAACCTGCAGGTCTTTCCAGTAATGGCAATATTGTGCCTCTTGCAGGAAGCCAGCGTGATCTACTACGATCTTACTAAACTTCTCGTATGTCATTCCTTCCTCTTTAGTGCAGGGATAAAGTTGGGTTCTTAGTGGATTTGGGCGTGCTTTGGCGAAGTTATTCAGAATCTGTGTAGGTGCCAGTCCATGATCCGGACACTGCAGAAGTTCATCCATAGTGGCTTTGAGAGCCGACGCACTCTTCCACTTATGATCACCAATGTTAAGGATCGAAGACTCAATCCTACGGGCCAGGTTCTTATCTTCAAACCTTTCTGTAAGGGCTCTGAAGAAGTCCTCGATTCCTGTCCGCTGTGAATACTGGACCATGGTCGTGCAGCCAGCCTCTTTCATCAAAGAGATAGCGAAGCTAATTGCGTCTCCTGCCATGCATGAACTCGCCATTAACACACGGTCCCAGTACATAATCTTTTGTGCGTACAGGTGTGTGTCCATAGCCGCCTCCCAGTGGAAAATGCTCTCTTCCTTTTTCCCCGTATAAGTCCAAGGCAACTTCACCTTCATCTTTTGCCTGGATTCCTCCGCTTCACCGTCTTCCACCTTCTTGGGACCCTTCCCTTTCTTGTCCCCATCATCTCCATCGTCTCCTCCATCTCCTCCTCCGCCTCCAATCTCTAATTCCTTACTACGTAAGGGTCGGTCAATCTTTTGACGAGGACTTTGTCTAACTGGTCTACGTATTTGAATATGCGATGGCCAATCTGCTCAGAGGCACTGCGCGGGAAATTGTTCCAAACGCCGTTGAATTCCCCTTGGTGCACTTCCATCCGATTGACTGTTCGGTTGAGTGCAGCAAGTTTTTTGTTAGTGTGGAGGAGAGTGTCTGTTAGGAGGTAGAGTCGTTCATCTGCGGCAGCCTGTTTTTCTTTTTGTTTCTGCAGCAGTTTTTGCAACTTCTCCCCCTCCTCTTTCATCCTTTTCTTTTCATTATATTCCTGCCTTTTCGCTGCCACCATTTTATTATTCAACTCTGCCTTCTTCTCCTCCAACAGTAAATTCTTCTCCACCTCATCCGCTGCCGAAGCCAGCTTAATTATAAAAGCATTCTTCTCCTCCTCCGTCTCTTCCGGGAACTCTGTCCGGTAACCGAACTGCTGAATCCAGTTCAGCGCCTCCTGCTGTTGTATACGAATTGCCTCTGCCTGACTGCTCTCGGCCTTTTCTTCCTGCGGCTGGGTTCTCCTCCTTTCCGGCCTGTCTCCCTCATCTTCTTCTTCTTCTTCTTTTTCTTCTTCTTTCAATTCCTCCATCATTTTGCTCTCCTTCTCCTTCATCTCTTTCTCCATCTTTTCTTTTTTCTTCCAACTTCTTCTTCACTTCCTCCTCGCTTTTCTTTTCCTCTTCTTTCTTTTTTCTCTGCCTGGCGGCGGTCTACCTCTGCCTGTTCTTCAGCTGTCATTGCCTGTGTTTATTTTCCAAACCGTAGTACTACTTGTGAGAAATATGTCCGCCGGAAGCCAAGAGGAAAGATGAAACGAAGAAGGGGGCCTCAGAGTACAGACAGGGTCAGAAGTGAGAACATGGGGTAATCATCCATGGTGACTAGAAGCACAGGTAAGTATCCTCCACCTCCTCAGCACTTAGACCTACCCCTTCCACTAACTACTAACTTCCGAGTGGGTCTGACTGTTGCTGATCGCTGAAACCTCCCCAAATCTTTATACGTATACACTTTTTTTTTTCGAACGAGCGGACGGGGTTCCAAACTCTAAACAATCAATCAAGTATGTGACAATTTAGACCATCCCAGCAGCAGCGACACTACGATAAGAGAGGTACCAAACACCAAGACAAGTTAGCAAGCAATACAGGTTTTATGGGGGCTTGCACTTCACTCCAATGAACGTTCTGTTGATGAAGCTACACGGCCGCTCCAACGCTCAATGCAGCAGCAACATGTACGTAATCACCTCTCAACAGGCCACTTCTTCTTCGGCCTACTTCTTTCCCCTCTTCGTCAGTCTTCTCCCCACTCTACTCTCCTTCAAATCTCCCCTTCTCGTCGGCCTTAATCGTTGTCAGCGATGTCCAGTGGATGTAGCGAGCAACTGCTCCGATACCAGTTTGCAACGAGCCTCTTTGTTCAACACCAGTGAGTGCACACAATCACACCGCACGCATGTATGAGATCACACGAGATTCACGCTGGAGCCCAGAGAGATGAAGACCATGTAGCGCAGCTCAAGAATTCCAACAAATTATCATATAAACAATTAAGAGTTTTGGTCTCAGGCGCTCAACAGCGCAACCCCAAGTATTTGGAATCTCCACTCAGGTATGTAACTTCCCTGAAGCTCTTCTCTCTTCTTCCTCCCTTGGTCTTCTCTGTCTTCTACCTCCCTGTATCCCCCTATCTGCATGCACTCACACTTTCTCTATTACTTCAAGGACCAACTCTGAATACACCCACTGCCGACTCTACTAATCCCTCTGAAGACTACTAACTACTATCACTAACACCCTGCACTGGCGCAGCCATGGTGGCCTTAACCCTGCCAGTGCTGTCTTCCCCCCGCCCTCTCTCTCTCTCTCTCTCTCTCTCTCTCTCTCTCTCTCTCTCTCTCTCTCTCTCTCTCTCTCTCTCTCTTCTGCGCGGAGCACTCTGGCTTCATCGTGAAGCCTCTGACCCTCACAGTAGCGCACAAGTGCACCAGCACTTCCACACTTCATGGGAATGAGCTATCTGCCGAATGAGGAGGCTGGCCAGTCCTTTTGTAGTCTTGGTTTGCACTTAAACTCGTGCCAGCCTCTGCTTCTTGGGGCCTGACTGGGTTCCTGTACCACATTCCCCACGGCCTGTCTGCTTTCGAATGTCAAGGCCTGGAACCTTCCCGAATTTCCAGTGGTCTGCTGCTGCTTGGGCCTTTGAGTCATGACTTTTCAATTTTGGCATGTGATTTTGACTGTGGACTGTGACTCCTGCCTCTGGGACACGACTCTTGCCTGTGGAACTGCCGTTTTACTCGTGGGATGTGACTCTTCGATATGACTTTTCATTTTGAGACGTGATTCTTGCCCCTAAGATGTGACTGTTTGCTGGGTGCCTGTTGGACTGAACTGCTTAGGTACTCGACTGTGACTTTTCTGAAAATTTCTAACTCGGCCTTTCCTGGCCAGGGCCTCTGATACTGAGACCCAAATTTGGGGTCTGAATCGTGGAAGGCCTTTCACTGCACCGAAAGCGGCAGACTCGGAGCTCGGAGCAGCGGGAGCATTTTTGCATCACAGAGGACGAGATGATCACGACCTCGCACCCTCCTGAGCGTCTGGGTAGGCGGAGCGTCTTCCGGCTAGAAGGGCCCAACGAATGAAAGTCTGGCTGCCATCCTCTGCGGTGCAACGATGGCTGACTGCCCTAGGTGTCTTTCGGGAGGGCAGAGCCCTCCCTTTTTACTTCTCATCTGCAACGTTGGTTCAAATGCTTGCTGTTGCAAAGCAGCCGGACTGTTGCCTCCCAGAATAGAGATGGCAGGAGCGTGTGTTGGGTTAAAAAAAATCCAAAATAAATATTAAAAAAAAAAATCCTTCCACAAAAGGATTGATCTAGCACGGCTGTCATTCTGTGGAGACGAGAGTGAAGGTGGCATGATCACCCTCCCGCCTTCTTGAAGAGCAAGTCCATGGCCTTCTTCTTGAAGAGCAAGTCCATGTTCACCCTCCCGCCTTCATTTAGGGGTGGGAGCTGAATTTTGTTGGTCAACCCCAAAACATGTTCACCCTATCGCCTTCTTGAAGCACAAGTCCATGGCCTCCCAGCGCACTGGTCCTGATGGTTGGTACTTTTGAAACTTCTCCTCTTACAGATACTTCTGAAACTTCTGCTTCCTGCCTCCTGTTTAACCCCACTTTCACCTCTCTTGAAGAGCAAGGCATTGTTGTTGCCCGTGTTCGGTTTCTTTTTCTTTCCTTTCCTTTTCTGTTGGACCATGTCTTCGTTGATTGGGTTGTGCGTCATCCTTGCGCAGCCGCACACGTTCCTATGCAGTTAGATGATGCGTTCTTACTTAAGCCACCAGTACTTGGCCCAGCTATTGCAGCTGATCCTGAATATGCCCAGCGCGCCGATTTCTGCCGAGCCTGCAGGGGGCGGGAACCAGCATGGGACATTTGATGCTTGGCACAGGTACCGCACTTATTCTGGACCTGCTGCCAGCAGCTGGAATGTAAAGAGGCGATAGTTTTGTCGTTTCCAGTCGTGTACATGAAAATGGCCTGGGAGCTGAAGCACAAGCAGCCAAGAGTCTTCAAAAGGAAAACAAAAAAAAACAAAAAAAAAATTAAGGGAAAAGAGGTACCAAGCTCTGAACGTGATTGCCCTCAGATACATCCACTGCTGCAGCGAAGTGCAGCCAGATACGTTCTGGAAAGTGCTACGTCACATTGAAGCCCTGGAATGGAAACGGTTGGCGCTCATTGAATGCTCCCGGTCTCTCAGGGGGAGCAGAAGCACAAACAGCCGAGATAGCCGAAATACTGCTTCCAAAAAAAAAAAAAAAAAAAAAAAAAAAAAAAAAAAAAAAAA